AAACCGCTTATATGCATCCTCTAAAGATTCTCCTTCTTTTTGCTTGAAGTTGACAATATCATATATTTTTCGGATAAACACTGAAGCAGGGAAATACTCATTCAGGAACGCAGTTTCCATCTCTTGCCATGTTGTGATACTCCCAGCTGGAAGCGAGTAAAACCATTCTTCCGCATCATCAGTGAGTGTGAACGGGAACATAACTAATCTCTTGGCCTCTTCGGAATGTCCTTCTATCTTCAGCGAGGTGGTGGTCGTAAGGAATCCCTGAAGATGTTTATTTGCATCTTCGTTGATTCTTCCGGCGAACGGCTTGCTCTCCAACTGACGGATGGTGGAAGGGTGTAGCTGAAAATGCGCAACATTCACCGGTTGATTCACAATGGTCATCCGGTTTGGTTGAGCATTGGCCCCTCCATAGTCTCCTAGCAGTCTTTCAGGCTGAGGTGGATTTCCAGCCATTTGAACAGTTTCAGGTGTTGTCTCTCTCTCTCTTCGGAGTCGCTCTGCACAGATATAATTTCCTCTATTTCTTCCAGTCTTTTAACTTTATCTATTCTCCGTCTTTCGTGTAATGCTCGTTCTGGTTCTGTATCAAAAGAATATTTAGCTGAGGCCTGACCTCGCATACACAATTAGACAAGCGTTAGATAATACAAGTGGATAAGAGTTATGCAGTAAATAATAAAATTTTAGTCACAGAGCAACAAAATTTCTTTTGGATTCAAAAAACAATGTTAATTTGGCAGTCCCCGGCAACGGCGCCAAAAACTTGATCGGGAAAATAGCAAGTGTACTATTTTTACCAATTGTAGTAATAAGGGAAAAGTCCCAAGTATCGATCTCGAGGACTGCGTAGTAATTAACGGAATTTTTAGGATTCAAGTGAACAGAAGGTCTAGTGGTTTGTTTGGTAGCAGAGTAATATAACAAGTGAATAAGGACTTATGAATCAATCTAAGAACAGTGTTAGGGGAGTGGAGACGATGCGAGTAAAGACCATGTATGATTATTCTGCTATACTAGTTATTAACCTTAATTTATCAGTTGGTCACTTTAGTTGTCTTAATTCCTTAATGAAAACCCTTTGATGATTTTCCTGTACACTAATTCCTCAGTGTCCATGAAAAGCATCAAGCAATAGTTCCGACCATAAAATACGTGATACAGGATATCCTCATTCCTAAGCAATATCGACCGTGATACTATTTTGCAAAAGTGTTAGGTTGACTTTCCAGACTAAAGCCTAAGCACAATTCGAATTCTACTTTCCAATATGAATACGATTAAGATTAATGCAAAATAAAATATATATAAAGGTAATAACATAGTTCTCATAGAATCATTAAACAAAAGTCATTACATCGCAACTTAGGACCACCCCCTAACAACTTGGGGCTTAGCTGCTCATGTTCTTGGTAAACATAAAAGCAATTAGAAATGAAAAGGAGAAGATCATTACAATGCAAGTTGAAATCCTTGGATCATCAATTGCTTCCGCTTTTGATCGATCCTTTGTTTCCAACCGAACTCTCCTCTCAGTTGTCAATCCTAATCTCAGTCCAAAAGTGTGCCCTACTTTCTAAAAAGTGACTCTTATATCTAAATTCAAATTACATCGCGAAATGTCTCAAATGCCCTTCGAAATAGGTCTGACAGCAAAAAATCAGAAAACACAAAAAATTCACTCCCAGTGGCCCTGACACGGGCCGTGTTGTGCAACACGGGTGGCCGTGTCAGGCTGCTGACTTCTTCAGGGCGTGTCTCCTCTCCAAGGGGTGAAACACGGGCCGTGTTGCATGACACGGGCACCCGTGTTGTAAGTCTGAGTCTCCTTTTCTTCTGCTTTGGTCTACCCGTGTCTGCCAACCGTGTCCTCCATGACACAGGCCGTGTTGTGCAACACGGGTACCCGTGTTGTGCAACACGGGTACCCGTGTTGTAGCTCTGATTTCCCTTTTCCGACTTTTCTTTGCTTCCGAAAGCGGTGCGACTGTCGTGCTATCCTTCCCTGCCAAAAACACACTAAAAGAAACCAAATCAAGCGCACCAGCGGAAAAAGTAATATAAACTTAAAAATAAGACTTGAAGACACACAACTACGAGTAATGCAGATAATAACAACTAAAGCTTCGAAAAACAGATAAAAACATTGCGAAATTAACAACAAACAGCGTTTGAAAACACAAGTGAAATCCACCGATCAAGCACCATGTCTTTGGTTGCCTTGGTTCCAGAGTTTTCTTTGATTCAACCAGTTTCCTTCATGCTGATTTCGACCAGTCGAATTGGTGTAGCCTCTTCTTCCTTTGTTGTCATTCCAACTTCTTTTGTCTTTTCTTTCTTTTTTAGACTGCGCCTGCAAAGTCATATCACTCTTCAACTTTCATGCAGCTCTTTCAGTCATCCTTTGTTCATAAGACTTAAGCGTCCCTTGAAACTCTTCATTCGTCAATACTGACAAGTCTTTCGACTCTTCTATGACTATTACCACGTGGTCAAATTTTAGAGCCAATGACCTCAAGATCTTTGACACAACTGATCTTGATGTCAACACTCCTCCACATACCTTGATTTGATTCACCAGCTTTGTAACTCTGGTGAAAAAATATGTTATACTTTCATTGTCTTCCATCTGAAGCAATTCATAAGTCCTTTTGTGAGTTTGTAACCTCACCTCTTTCACCTTCTTTGCGCCTCCAAACGATTTTTCAAGAATCTTCCAAGCTTCTTTTGCTAGTTCTACATCACTAACATTTTCAAAGTTATTTGGATCAAAACACATTGATGGATTATAAAGAGAGCTTTATAATCTTTCTCTTCAATTCTTTATATGATGTTTTCTCCTTATCTGTCGCAGTTTCTGCAAGCTGTGATAATTTTTCCTTCACAAGATTCCAAAGATCTTGGTAACAGAAAGCCACCTTAATCTGCTTGCACCAATGCTCATAACTATCTTTCTTGAGGATTGAAAGATTTGCTGAAAAGTGATTGTTCGGGTGATTCATCGCCATCACAGTTGTTCTTCCCTTGAATCAAAACCGGAGCTCTAGATACCATATGTTGGAATTCAACCACGATATATGGTGAATTCTTCTCAATCTTGATCTCAAAATTGTTATATAATGACAATGAACAAAAGCCAAGAACACGTTTAAAGAAGATGAGTATGAACTGCATAGTAACTTTCTGCCCACAGTGGAATTTTATTATCACTTTACAATTGTAAAACCGTGATTATCAAACTTGATTATTATAATAATAAGGTTCCTTCTTATTTATAAATTTAGGTTAACTTGCATCTCAAGTTAAAGCTCAAACTTAAAAGTCCAAAAATATATAATTTAACTTTTCTAAATCAAATTTAATCATTCTAAAATAATAAATTACATATTTAATCAAACAAATTATATAATTTAATATAATTTAAATAATTCAACCATCACACAAACTCATAACAAACACGTATAAGTATTTAATAATTCGGACCTTAAGAAATATTGGCATCACCAGCCGAATTTGAACTGGTCAATAGGGGTACTTAGGTACGGGTATAGATATGAATCTATTTAAATATTTTCTCCTATGTTTTCTTTTTCTTATTCATGGGAGCACGTTATTGCAGCATACTGTATAGTAGTCGGCAGAAACTTTAAAGAGAGAAAAAGAGTTTTGAGATTACTTTGACTCTCATTTTTTATTTTTAATTGGATATTGACCGACGCTTCATTTTAAACAAAGAAAATCAACTTTTTGTAAATAAAAAATAAACTTAAATTCGTATAGTTTGTTTGTTCTTTCTTTTATGATTATTAGTAACCGTTTAGATTTAAGAATACCATTGACATTGACACTAGTTAGTGCAAGCATAAACAAGCTGGCAAAACTTATCTAGTTAAATAATTCAAACTATATTGTGCCAATTCACACGTCTATAGTCTACATTTTATTTTATATTTATGCGTTGGAACACGCTAAAGTTGTATCGTGGAGCTGAAAACATTGCTTCAATTAGACTCGTTTCACCTGTCCACTTTCAAATATATTGCTTATTTTTATTACGTATATAAATTATTTGTTTAATTGTTCACATCCCATGTTTCTTTCTGAAGAGATTGTGCAGGTGGGTCTCAATATTTGCTTCTGAAATCCTGATAGTTGAGTAACGGAAACATCCACTTTTTCATGGTTCACAGTAGAATGCATGAGTTTCGTGTCTGGATTCTTTTATTTATTTATTAAAAGAAAAATTAACATTGGAACATTCAAATCCCTGTGAACCATGATAGTCAAATGTTGATTATTTTTTTTTTTGATAGATCACGTCATTTTAACATTTGATCTCTTGCAAATTATATAGAACCGTTTTTAAAAAATACGCTAATTAAAAAATAAACTATCAAACCCAAATTATGGAATGGGATATCAATTTATAGACTTTTGGTTGAAGATGGGAGCCAGCAATGCCCCCAACTGCCCATCTCTCTGTAGTTCCAATATATCTTGGGAAATGGACAACTTGGATGGACATACCAAAATGAAGGGCCTTGTCGGGAATGGAAGAAGTAGAATAATTCATAACTCATTGGTGTACGCAACACCATAGGTAAAACGTTGGGATGCTCCACCATTCACAAAATGAAAGTATCCATTGGTAAATATTAATGCGGTCACAACAAAATGGAGTCAGGAGAACATTAGTTTTTTGGCCAGTCATAACATGCAAAATTTCAATGTAGAGTTGTCTGGTCAACCAATATTTGATGAATAGTTGAAAACTGGTTATTAACTTGAAAGTCAATGTTACACATTCTCTCAAACTCAAACCTAGGACGCATCAGCACAGACAATAAGAGACAATAAGATAAATGAGCAGCGTCTTGTGTGGTAAACAATTTGTGGTAAATAATTCGAAGTTGTATTGTAATCATAACCTAACAGTTGTCCTGGCAAATTGGACTAAGCCATTACGTTCATAATGACCTTTATGATTTTTTCCATCAACCTTCCTCCCAGTCGACATCGTCCTCATCCTCCTCGTCCTCTGCTGGAGCATCAGCTTCAACATTCAAATCCACCTTGTAACCTCCATTTCCTATAAAAGTTACATTCAGATAAAAAATGAGGGGACACAGATACATTATAAACAAAAGGGTAAAAATATATAAAGAAAGTTGAGTATTAACAATTGAACACAGAATTTTGGTTCAATATTATTAGACAATCAATTATGGAAAATTGATGTTCAGATCAATAAAAAACAATCTCCAACTCAATGACCCTATTCACTAACATCTTAACATATGGTTCTCCTTGAACCAGTTCCCTGAGGGTGGAGTAGTTAGAAGATACTATAATAAATTTGAAGTTGATAAAACTTGCCCTTCTAGAGGTTTACAAAGCCTATGAAAAACCTCTCTGGGTTTTGAAATTAAAATGATACCCTGTATGTGACATTTTTTTAAGATAGATACCTCCTATGAAATTCTTTTGTAATGGGAAATCTTAAAATATTAAAATAATTCACAAAACCGCCTTCTCATCCCTATTCAGGATCAAGATGGTTATTGGTGCTATTGCATCACCTATTCTCCCATATTCGGAGAGAGATATTAAGTTTATATCTACCTTGTTTATTCCATGGCCAACAACACAATTCCTGTCATGGCCACTCAATTCTACTGTTGCAACAAGTAGCGTCATTTCTAAAAGTAATCAAAACAGGGGAGAATAATTCTTGTATCAAGATTATCAAATTTGAAACTTTTGGCACACCCTATTCTCTATCAAGCAGATTGAATTTAATCAATCATGAGCAGAAAAACATAAAACTGATCTGCAGTTGGGACAGTGTAATCTCCATGTGGGAAAAAAGGTATTCCAATCTTTTAAAGCATTTTATCAATTGATAAAATCCAATAAAACAGCTCACAGAATATCAGGTAAACAAAATAAGAACCAAGTCAATGAGACCATGAAATAGATTTGAAGACTTAATTTTATATTAACAATTAGTAGACGCACATCACTTCAAATGACAAAACAGTATTTCCCATTCATGGTAAGATTCCTTAAACAAAACTTCTTGTCGGCTAAAGCTCCTCCTGTATGTTTTAAAACACTAGTTAAGGGAACCGGTCTTTATAGTCTATACCAGTCTTTATAGTTGATACCGGTCCAACCATAACACGTCAACCAAATATGACCTAAACCAAGCAGTTATATAGTGAACTGTGCCATTCAAAGAGTGACAAAATCTCAATTAAAGAAGCCGTAACATCCCATATCATACGCTAATTACAGATCACCTTAGCATGCCTACAGCTGCAAGACAACTGCAACCAACTACAACTACAATTTAAAACCATAATCCCTAGGTTGTTAATCTCGGATAGCGGCGCGTAGCACCAGACCCCCAAAATGCTATAGCGGCATGGCGGATAGCGGGATGACCGCTATTGTGAGCTTTAAAAAACAAGATAAATATTTAACACGAATACATAAATACCTAAAATAAGTTCCAGCAACATATATAATGCCTTAAAAACAGAAGTTGCAACATACATAAATCACATCCACCTCTTCTTCACTTCTAAGTTTCACCACATTAATATCATCTTGCTCATCACTAGATTTAATTTCAAACTATTCTTCTTCCACCTCCAACTCCTAGTCTCCATTAGACACTAATGTAGCAAGTCTAGAGTGATGTCTAGTATCTCTTGCTGGCTTATTAGCCACAGTGGCATTACCAATTCCAAGTCAAACCCTCTTCTCCCAAAACTAAATCATCTTCCAATATTTCATTTTCATCCTCATTTTGTTGCAATCATTCATAACATTCATCAATATTGTTGAGGAGAATAGGACCAATTAAATCATTGCTTTGAAAAAACCTATGTTGTTGGAAGTTTGGCTCAATATTGTCATCAATAGTTTAAAAAAATTAAAAAAAAACATTTGTTGTTGGAAGTTTGTGTTAAACTTGCAGAAGATGACCATGGTTGCTAGTAGATGAGAAATCAGCAAAACAGGGGATAAATAGATGTGACTGGATGAGAAAGTGAAGAAAAAGATGAATAGGTGAAGAGGAATGTGGAAGAATGGATAAGAAAGATGGACGCTTGCTGATTTGAGAAGAAGAATGGATGAGAAAGATGGATGCTTCCTGATTTGAGAAGAATGTGGAAGATGAAAATTTGTGAAGAGAGAGAACGACAAATTTTTAAGTCAAAAGATTCACCACCGGCTGATTTGAGTGAACGGGAGAACTGGAAATGACCTAAAGCATCACTAACAACTTTTATATTAGTCAAATAAAAGAAAAAATATCAATCTGTCCTTAAAAAAAAAAGTCAAACTTATAATATTGCCCTCATCTTCACAAATGGCGGTCTGTAAACCGCTATTGCGCCGCCACAACTACACAAATATCAGCCGCTATTTCCACTATCGCGGATAGCAATTAGCACCCCAAAAGCGTGACGCCAAGGTTTTGCACTGCTACGCTATGCCGTTATAGCATGCTATCGACAACCTAGCATAATCCAAACCAACTAAAGAATGACAACGACCGAAAGAGAACTCTTGGACAACGTTGAAAGCAAGGGTGTGGAACCACAAGCTTCCATTGTAAATGCCTTTGCAGTGTGGCCTTCTCTCTTTAAGAAATGAGAGATTAGTCTTCCTATTTCATAACAATTTTACCCATTGTAAATGCCTTTGCAGTGTGGCCTTCTCTCTTTTAGAAATGAGAGATTAGTCTTCCTATTTCATAACAATTTGTACCTGTTAAGACGTTGAGTATTCCTATCATTCATTCCTAGTCATTGTCACTTCTATTGCACAATCTTAAAATTACACGTGTAATAATAATAACACTCTAAAATGGATCTAGAGCATTGATCATGCACAACAACAACAACCAAGTCTTATCCCACTAAGTGGGGCGGGCTACATGGATCAACTTCCGCCATAATGTTTTATCCAAGACCATGCTTTTATCTAAATTGTTAAGCTCAAGATCTTTCTTAATAACTATCATGCTCATTAACAATATAATTTCAATTAAGGGGACCAATAAGCCGAACAATAATATAAGCAAACATGTAAGTAATCAGTGTGTTATGACTTATAGAGTATTCATAATCAAACATATGTCTTATAATTTTTTTACAGTGTTATGTCTTATAATCAAACATGTGAGGCAAGTTGGGACATTAAACACAAATGTAACAATTAGCAGTCATATATAATAGAAAATTATGCTTTTTAGGTACATTGAATAATCAATGTATCTGGATTATATACTCCCTTTGATCCTATTTAAAGAGAAAATTTACTTTTTAGATTCATTGAATAATAATGTATCAGGATTGTATAATAGATCAAGATATATTGATTATTCAATGAATCTAAAAAATCAACTTTATTTTATAAATAGGACCAGAAGGAGTATACTATAACAATCCAAATTTCTTTGTAATTAGTTTGGAAATTGTACCTCTAACAGGAGCTTCTTCCCATTCAGTACCATCATCATCTTCCTCGCGTTTTGATTTACCGCCAACTTTGCGATTGGAAGTACTGCCAGAAGGATCATCTGCACCGTTCCCATCTAGGGGATTTTTTGCAGCTTCTTCCAATTCGTGTTGCTTCTTAACTAAAGCGGCGTAATAGGCCTTAATATACTCATCCTATAAAAAATATAAAAGGTAACAGATTTTAGTGATAAAAAACTTTCTAGTGCCTTGGGGGGGCAGGGACAGGGAACTTGAACAAAAAGAATCAAACCATACAGAAAATAACAGTTCATATTACGAACCTGTATATTTTTATCATCATGCACAATTGTTGACTTTTTCTCGTCTGTATATTGTGCTGCTGTGGAAGTTGAAGTCCCATCCATTTTTATTTCCTGCTTCACTTCTCCACGTTGTTCCTTCGTTAGATTCATACCTGATGTAATCATCCATGGAGGCAAAACCTTTAAAGATGTACTGTCAGTTTCAGATTTAACACCCTCTCCTTTGCCTTCAGTACCATTGAAGTCAACTACCACCTGTCCACATTCATTGATAGACTACTTAACATTTAAACATTTAAGGAAGATACGATGAATGCTAAATATAAAAGCTATACATGGAACCGTGAAAGCACATTTGTCCTACATGGGACATACAGACTGACATGTCAACCACTTTCGAGAGATAGGTACTAAAATCCAATAAACCCGAAATGAAACTTAAACAAAACCGAAGGAATTCCATTTTCAGGTGATATTAATGGTGAAAATGATAGAGCACTAGGCTCCTTATAGAAAACAACACCAATGTGAAAAAGAAAAATATCTCAACTATTATTCCAAAAAAAAAACATCAGTCCATCCAAGGTCCAACGCTTTACCACGGCTACCTAATTCTTGCCTAACTCCCATCGACCTCTCACCTTTCCAATATATAAAAATGATCCCCCTATCTCCCTCTCCACTCATCAAATGCCACCTGTCCCATTTTGTTATGCCCTGTCTCCATTCTAATGGCTTCCTCCTTATATCCCACAAGCCTATCAGACTGGACTCTCATGTTAAATTTTCAAATGACAAGGTCATAACAAAATTGTGTATCTCTTTATTCATAGAAATTAAGAAATTTTGATAGAACCCTTCCAATCAATGTCTGCTATAAGAGACATAAATTTTGCATGACAACCATGTGAAGGAAAATTAGCATTACAACTTTCAGTACTAACTCATTGCATGTTTGTTTTTGCATGACAAAAATTGATCTTGAATGAATTGATTTAACTTAAAAGTGACTTGAATATAAAGTGGTTTATGTTTGAATACGTTTATGTAAAAGTGAGCTCCCCAATAAATTGTAGTGTAAAAGTCGTGTTTAGCCCAAAAGCTACAAATCCTAGATTCAAATTAGAATCAATTCTAGGGACAAATTCAATTCTATTCAAAAGCGGTGGTTTCAGTACTAACTCATTGCATGTTTGTTTTTGCATGACAAAAATTGATCTTGAATGAATTGATTTAACTTAAAAGTGACTTGAATATAAAGTGGTTTATGTTTGAATACATTTATGTAAAAGTGAGCTCCCCAATAAATTGTAGTGTAAAAGTCGTGTTTAGCCCAAAAGCTACAAATCCTAGATTCAAATTAGAATCAATTCTAGGGACAAATTAATTCTATTTGAAAGCAACCAAACATGTCAATCAATTATACACCTCCATAATCAATTTTGGCAGCTCAACCAAACATAGGCGTGTGTTTAGTTATGAGGTGGCGAAAATTGATTGAGTGAATTGATTCTGTAAAATTGATTATTGTTAAAAGTGAGTTGAAGGTAAAATGATTTATGTTTGAGTATATTTATGCAAAAGTGAATTGAATAATAAAATTCAGTGTAAAAGTCATGTTTAGACCCAAAAGCTATAAATCCTAACTTCAAGTAGAATCAATTTGGGATACAAAATCAATTCAACTTTAGAGGAACCAAACATGTCAAAATCAATTCTTCACCACCAGAATCACTTTTTCCTCTTCTAAAATTGAAACCAAAATAGAAAACTTTGCATTCATCAGCAAATATAAAGGAAAGTTATATTGCTCAAACTAAAACAAAAAATGAAGGAAAAAAATTGGTTTTATAGAGAGAAAAATTTTGCAGAAAAAAGAGGGAATGTACAACTAAGAGGATAACATATCATCCAAAAATGAGGAAGAGGTCCAAGAAAATTGATGAGAAAAAGAACATAATGGTTACTCGGTCTCTTTGTCTTACAAGTACAACACTTAGATTTTGTTAGTCCGTTAACCAGCAGCAAGTTGGCATAGTTTGTTAAAAGTTTAAGTTAGCTCAGCTAGTAACTATATTTACCAGAATCTTCAAAGGTTTGGTGCAGTATTTTAGTGGCAAAATATTACTAGTACAATTCTATATCATTTTCTCACCATATTTTATTTCCCTTTCTATCATTTTCTATTTTCTCTCTCCAATTTTTTATTCCTAATAATTTGCCTAGAAAGGATAACCCCCTTAAAACAGCATAATGTTACCTTGGTATCTCCACTGTATGGCATTGGTGCACCATTATATCCCAAATGAGACATTTTAGAATCGCCAGCATTTTCTCCATTAGCTGCACGCCCAGCTGCACTAGCTCGAGCTTCCCATGCTTGAAGAGTGCCAAATTCTGGAACCGGCAAATCTTTTACCCGACTGAGTTGGTCTATTAAAGGCTTGAGTTGTACCTGCACTAGCACAAGTACAGCAGCCATAACATAACATGCAAAGTAAGTTGTATGACAGAAGCTACAAAAAGTAAAAGCCATAATTATGTAAGCCTTAGCAATTCATCATGAAAATAAGATGAGATAAATGATACCAGCGGTCATGTTTATTTAAAATTGTGAGTAGAGTCAGTAGACTTCCAAGTCAGCCCAAATTTTACAGCTCTACTAAGTACATGCCCCAACAAAATCCAATTATATTACATATACTTTTTTTAAAATGATTATACATACTTGCGTGAATTAATACACTTGGTCAAAATTCATAATATTGTTGGCTTCGAGTAAATTGTCAGGTGTATTAGATTGATAGGTACCAAAAACTGAATAATACAAAAATGAAACTCAGAACAGCAAGGGATCCCAGAGGATTTTAATGTGAAAGCAATAGAGGATTATGCTACTTATAGAAAACTGAATTAATGTACAAGGGAAAAAATACCGAGACTAATCTTCCTAAAAAGAAACCGGTCGTGCAGAAGACGAAGTGTTGCCACCAGTCCACCACTGCCCAATTCTTGCCTAACTACAATGAACCTTGCACTCTCAAATATACTGTTTTCTCTTTTTCTCACCACTCATCAAATGCCACATGTACCTTTCTGTTATGGTCCCTTTCCCTTCTTATTGTTTCCCTTCACCTCACGGGCCTATCATAGATTTATCTGGTTATCTAGCTGTCTCATGCCTTTTCTAAAGAGTAATGGATCTGACTGGTTCAACAAAACCAAGCTGCGGACTACAGTTTGGATACAAAAACAGTGAGTTCAATTTTAAAATGGAAGCAACTTCATTCCTATGATCCACTACCAAATAGGGATGGACAGGTAAGTGGTAAGTGATAGGAGAATGGAAGATGCAGATGCAGAACAAAAATTTAACACTTGACTTCTTCAGAATATTGAACTGACACTCAGGCAGCTCTATATGTATGATATTCACACGGTTTCTACGAACTCTCTCATAGCTTGTTTATCCTATATATACAAAACCTAACCCCAAAAATATACTCCCTCCGTTCCTTTTTAAGTGTCACTTTTTGGATAATTTTTTGTTTCTTTTTAATTGTCACTTGCAAAAATCAAGGTAGTATTAAATGCATGTTTGTCAAAATTATCCCTAGATAATTATTGTAGAGAGATAAAAAGTAAAATGAATGTAATAAATAATTAGGGGTATTATAGGTAAAAAGAAAATTATTGTATGAAAAGTAACAATCCTGATTAGTTTTCTTGGTATGTGTAAAAAATCCGAAAGTGACACTTAAAAATGAATTGAGGGAGTAATAACTAACATTACTTGCTACAAAACCACTTCGGTTAGGAATTTTCCCAGTTCCAGCAAACAACTATGATAAAGATCATCGACAATAACAAATAAAAATTATCCAACATATGAAGCCACAAATAGAAACAAATGGTGAAATAAATCATATAAGAACCTCCATCTTTTGAAGCATGTCCTTTAGCTTTTCACGCCGTCGTCTTCTTGCATTTTCATCTCCATCTCCATCTCCCCCATCTTGAGCAGCTAACTTATCACTTTCAACCTCTAGTTTTCCATTACACCGCTCACAATGGAAGTCCTCGTCCTCAAAAGATATCAACCGCAATGCATCCAAAGCATTGTATCTAAAATAATTAAAATCCCCAAGTATTATGAAACAGAAATACATCAATACAAATAAAGTAACTATGAAAAAATATATTACAGATAAATACAGTTATTTCTGAAACCTTTTCCCACAGTTTGTACATATATATTCCTGAACAGTGTTTTTGTTCTCCAATTCATCTTTCAGCTTATGCTTCATGCGATGCAGTCTGTACCTAACCACATCATATATCTGCAACAAAATCATAAGTTTCCTATATATATGAAGGAGCCTAGATTTTGATGAACCCATTCAAACGAATTGTCTGACAGGAAAAAAAAAATTGATTTTCCTTTCTCTGAAACAAAACAACTAAATATCATTGGTAAAGCTACAATTGAACAATATAATTAGTGTAGAGATTGACCTGTGCATAATCTAGACAACAGTAAGAGTGTGTATGTAGCTTGACCTTTTCTTCTCCCTCCTTTCCTGTTGCAGCATCAGCTGTAGCAGCTACAGCTGCGCTATATATTTTTGCACCTTTTGCTGTCTGTTAAAATTATACAACAGGAAACATGTGAACAAAATACATATACGACTAAATATATTCACCCACAACTCTCACTCATGCAAATCTTAGACTGGTGAATATCAAAATAATAAAACAAAAAAATGCACATCAACAGATGGAAATAACCTTCACATTACACAAGGGAGGGAATCTTCTAAAACTAATCTAGAAGAGCTTGCATACTCTTCATTATTCAAGATTTATAAAAAGTTGTCACTGAATAGGGGGCGAAAAGACAAAGATGCTACTGCATTTTGTAGAAGCACAGCAGCTATCATGGTCAAAGAAAAAATATATCATGTGTCAAACCAAAAATATATACAAAACCACCGTGTATATTCATAGGCTTTAAGCACTTGATTTCAAACCTTCTATGCACAAGGTAGGAAAGAAAAACATAACAGAATTGACAAAAAAACGATCAATAATAAGAATTCTATGAACTGCTGTACACCATCGCTAGGTGGAGGAATGAATTAACATGAGTCAACAATCAATAACTGTTTGCTGACTGTGTTAATTTGTTAAACTCATTCAAAAGATCATTATTAAGCCGCGTGGGTGGTCACAATCAAGCTATGGATCAAACAACATAACATAATGATTTCATTTGATTGGCTAATGCTTGTAGGCCAGCTGTATGTCACAAAACGAAAGCAACATAATGAATAGACAGAACTGGATAGTTACCTCTCTCCTATGATCTCGTGTGATAATTTTTTCTTCTTCAAAGAACCGCAGAGTTCGACGAAGTTGCTTTGAATGCAATTTGAGGTCCTTTGCCAAGTCTTCTTCTCTAACCCATTGTCGTCTGGAATAAAAAATTAACAGGATACAATTAAAATCCAAAGTTTCAAACTAAATAAACAAACCTTATATTCCCTTTTCCCATTATCTTTTGTATAATGATTCTAATCTTCTATTTCCATTCTATCAATTTAAATTGAAAATTAAAATAATTTTTATCAACTTTTTGTTTTCCTTGCTTTGTGCTTGAATAAGTGAACTACTGTCAGCAGAACTATCACTAATCATTAACAATCTACAACCCTTGGAAAATTATATCTAATTAATTAAGATTATAAGAAATTTAATTGAACTTGTGCATCATTTGCTAGTTAATAAAAGTATGTGAATCGTAGTTTAACTTGAAAAGGTGATAAATGGGAACAAAAAGGTTGAACCTGGTGAGCGCATCAAGAACAACTACGGCAATTCCTCTGTTATCACTCCTTCCCGTTTTGGGTTGATTATCTCCTTTGCTGGTAAGATCGTCATAGAAAGCTCTCGCGGCTAGTTTAACAAGCCTGTGCAAATTTCACTCAGTAAATTTAAAACAAAATTCACAAATCACATATTGTTCCTACTTTCTTATGTTTTTTTTTGGATCAAATGGAAATTCGATGCAAGTGAAATGGAGAGAGAGAGAAGTTCTTACTTGTTGTAGGGTTCAATCATTGATACGATCTGATTTAGGGTTTTAGTACAGTCGTTGGTGTTCTTGTAGAAGATTAGGTTGCGGTACCAGAGATGATGAATAAGATGCCGGAACGAGAGGTTAGGTTGCCGTGGCGTAACCGGTGGGCGGCGATAGAGAGAACGTGTTAGGCTTGGGAAGATTAAGAAATTTGAGGAATGTGTGAAAGCTCGAATATGGTGAAACCGAATTCATAAATTGAAGGATTGGAGCAAAAATTGGTACTAGAATATCCTGGGTCAATAGCAAAAAGAATTAAACATTTTGGTTATCCAACTCATTGCATATTACAATTTTATTTTATTTTTTCGAGTTCTAGTGTGGCTGTAATTTATCATTTAAAGATAAATAAATAAAATATTGTGCGTTTGCGCCTCAATTGTATGTATATTAACTAAATGGGACATAGTACAATTATTTTTAATTTTTTTATATAAACTGACAATAATATTAATTATAGAATATAATTGATTAAAGGCTATAAAATTTAAACTTCAATTTTGCTTCACATAATCAATTAATTCAAAGATATGGATGGAAATAGGTCAGTTAACATCTAATTTATACAGGCTCAAATTAAACTAAATATTTTTTAAAAATATATATTTAAATTTTTTTATAAATCTATTTAGTTAAAAAGACTAGACATTAGACTATAAAAAGAAAAATCTTCCAAGCATATTAGATGAGTCTATTTAAATAAATATGAATAATTTTTTTAATATTATGTTATGTTTGATACTTTGAATTAAAATACATAAATAAAACTTAGTTGTTTTTGATAACTTATGAAAATAAAATGAAAACACCTTATAGAAAATGTTATAAGTTCTTTTCATAAGTTCTCTTAAACAAATAGTCTCACAAAACTTATGTTAATAGGTAAGTTAAAATAAGTCAATGCAAACAAACTTTTAATCTAGTTGATCTTTTAGTTTGTTAGTCTAATTAAACAATATATGAATTGCTTATTTACATATGTCTAAAATAAATAGGCTTTTATGTAGGCTAACAGGCTAATCAGGTCTTCAAAAAGACTAGGTTCAAGCTTTAAAATAAGCCTATGACATGTTACAGGCCAAGCTTAGGCTTTGGATTTTTTTGACAGGTCAGACTTAGGTTTGACAAAGGTTAACTCGGCCCAGCCTATTTTCATCCCTATTCAAAGGTATAATTGATTAGTCCTCATAAATCATGTGCTGCTTATAAATCAAATCGCTAAGGATTCTCATATTAAATTATTTAATTGGTTATCAAGGGAGATAATTGATTAGAGGCATCTTATCAAACCAAAACAACAAACACGTTCAATTCAATCTCAAACAAAACAAGCATCATCAAGTCAACATCAAACAAACATTCACCAACTCAAAGCAAGATGAGATGAAGTCAAATGTCACAAGAGACAAGGTAGGGCAGCAAGCACAACATATCATACTCATGTCATATCAATGATCAAAAGGAGGGCATAAGGCAAGTCATGCATACCATTCATATACAAGTCAACACCACGTCAAACAAACATGAATACAAAAAATCCCAAAAGGGAAAAGCATATGAACATGACATGAGCATACGAAGAGACCATAACATCAATATGATCAATAAGTTCAACATTTAAACATGCACACACAAGAGAGATCATGCAAATAGAATCACACAAGTGGAAACCAAACATGCTTTAAGAAGAATCAAACACCAAATGACCCACAAAAAGCAAAACACAATCAAGCAAATATCAAGACTTCAAAAGACATGAAGAAGGACAGAAAAACACCCAAGGATGGATTAAAAACAAGATCACATCAATTTTGCAATTTAAAATCAAATAAAAAACGCAAATAAAACCTAAAAAGGATGGAAAATAGTTAGAGCACCAACAAAAATCCAAGAACATCATCATAGGTTAGAAACCATCATAGGATCATATGCTAATTTCCTCATAATTTTAAATGACTCAAGAATAATTTTAAACCAATTAAAATTAACCAAATAATCTTGAAAAACATTAAAAAAAAATAGCAAAACCATAAATAAAATCTAAGAAAAATCACCATAGGTTCAAAACCATCACAGGATCATATAATATTTTTCTCATAATTTTAAAATATCTAAAAACAATTTTAAACTAACTAAAATTGGCTCAAACATATTAAAATTTAAGAAAAATAGCAAATGGAAAAACAAAAATACACAAAAATAAAAAACATGAAGAGAAAAATAAAAAGAAATTATAAAAAATATTTTGGTATTTTTCTAATTAAAAATGAATTTTCTATGAATTTTTGAATATAAAATGAATTTAAAAGCAAATTAGAAAAAGAAAATAAAACAGAAAAAACAAAATGTGTTGGATCCAACCTCATTAAATGACGTGGCTAATCCAAGGATCCAAAAGTGTGTATCCATGATGGACTCAAGTTAACTCAACCACACAGAGCCAACGAAAGTCAGAGGCACCAGATTAAAACAACTGTAAGACATGGATGGTCAGATGATGCCAACTCATCATTTTCAACCTCCAGCCATTTCAAAACCAAAGGAAATTGCAGAAAATCGTGGAACCATCAAACCATAACCATTGGAGCTCATAGTGGTTTCATTTGATGCGTCTTTTCAAAACGATCTCAACCATATCATTGCGCCATATTTCTTTAAACCATAGCTCACTCGATTTGAAAAAACTAGAAAGAAAAGCAAACACATATTTGAAAATTAAGCATCAAAACTCAACCTAAACCAAAATCTAACAATCCTAACAGCATCAACACATCAAGGACTACATTTTAGCAACAAATTTGAGTTGAAATGGTTAAGAATTGTACCTGTTGAAGTTCAACTTCAGAGCTCTGAAAATGGAGTCCTAAAGCTTGATTCAGGCCATGATCTTTTAAGTTCTTGAGTCGGTTAGCTTCACTGAATGTTGGTGAAGCTAATTGAATGGATAATTTGAGTGTTTAGGGTGTGGAAATGAAAATTCGAAGTTCATGCTCAAGAGTTCAATGGGATCTCATCAGGGTGATTCTGACTATCAAAGCTTGTGGAAATGAGTGGAATTAGTCTCTTATTTATAGGAAAAGTTTTTTGAATATTGAGGGAGGGTGAATGATGCAATTTGAGGTGAATCTGTGCACACCTGCAGCATGAGCAAAATAAGACTTGAAAACTGTCAAAACTCACTCAAACCTTGCGTTTCAAGGTTTTAATCAATCCAGACAAGTTGATTAATCATGTTTAGATTGAATTTATGGTTTAATTTGGTGATTAGAGGCCAATTCAAACAAAATCAATTCTGACTTGAAGTTGATTTTTAGCTTTGAAATTCAAATTTTGCCACCATGGTTCTCACAATGTATGAGGCTTTATGAGATGATTCTTCTTGCATTGGATAGAGGATGATTCCAACTTTGCAATATGAAAAGAAAGTATTGTTTTAGCAATCTGAGTTGAGAGATATGATCCTTCAAAACAGCTTGTATGAGAGGGTTCAAAATTGCAAAACACTTAGAGAATTTTTAAGTCTTTTTAGGGACAAAAAATGACCTATAATGTTTTGATACAAAACCAAAGCCTCCCATAAGTTTTTTATAAATGTTTTTGATAAAAATGGGCTCCAAATGATGAAAATTGACCAAGTTATGATTTTTTGAAGTTGACTAGAAAATCCTTCAAAAACTCAAAATGACCTATAATGTCTTCAAACTTTTGATGGATTTCCAAGTATAATTAGATCTTTCCTTCCAAATAGAACTTGTTGGGGATGATGAGAATAGTTTATTATAAAAAAAACCACCTCAAGATGTTGAAAATTGAAGAAGTTATACCCATTTGATCATAGCATCCACAATTTGCTAAATTAGGTCAACCACCTTGAACCAAACTTAAATCTCTTGATTATTCCTTGTCAACCAAGACATGGTGAGGATGAGGGGCCTTTGGGGCATGAGAATTCCATAAAGTCAAGAAAAAAACCTTGCTTACGGTTGAAAAAACATGTTCCTCCTATCTTGAGAAACAAACCAGAATGCCTTGATCCTTGTCAAGAACAATGCTATGCAAAAATGAAAATGAAAATGCAATGAAACATAAGCCAAGATCCAAGAGAAAAGATGGGGCAATTTTGGGGTGCTACAGCTGCCCTTATTCAAACAACTTGAACTTGAAGGGATGAAAAGCAAATTTTTTCAAACATTCAGGTAAAAGGTGATTGAGTACCAAAAGAACCCGAAAATTTGCAAACTGTGGGGATATTCACAATGCAAAAACTGCCAGACGAAGGTGGACTTAAAAATCAACGGATACCAACCAAAAGTTGGGATAACTGAAAAGGTAAATGATCAAGAAGATAAAAATGGCTACTAACCAAAAGTTAGGATCACCAGAAAGTTATATCCTAAAGTTGTGACAAAGAGGCTACTTATCAAGAGTTGGGATCACCCAGATGCCATCCAAATATGAATACACAAACAATGAAGACTACCAACTAAAAGTTGGGATCACTGAAACGCCAACCGAAGGCTAACACACCGAAAGGAAGACTTCCAACCAAAAGTTGGGATAACGACTTCGTAAGGGAGCTCAAATGAGGACTACCAACCAAAAGTTGGGATAACATCCAACAAACAAACGGAGTACCAATAAAAAGTTAGGATAACATCCAAATAAGCAACATACTGCCAACAAAAAGTTGGGATGACATCCAACAAATAAACGGACTACCACCCAAAAGTTGGGATAACATTAAAGCAAGCGACGGACTACCAACCAACAGTTGAGATAACATCCAAACAAGCGACGAACTGCCAACCAAAAGTTGGGATAACATCCAAATAAGCGACGGACTACCAGCTAAAAGTTAGGATCACCGAGACATCGACCAAAGACGAACTTACCCAAGACGAAGACTACCAACCAAAAGTTGGAATAACGACTCTGCGGGAATCAAGAGAAGATTACTAACCAAAAGTTGGGATAACGTCCA